GACTGCTATTCTATAACATTTTCCATTGTTTGTATAAAGAACTATTCTGTCAATGTATTTGTATTGTTTGTGTGTGTAAACTTTGTTCTGCTTCAATTCGAAGAGATACTCGAATACGTCCAGATTTTTATTCGAAGTAAAATGTCATTTCCGAAAAATAGAAGCGTAAGTGTTTCAAAAGGTTTAATGGCGGTGGCAGATGTGAAGTTAAATTCACCAACTCAAACAAACAGTCAAAGTGTTATTGTCAATGTCAAAGAAAGAGATGTTGAAATGGGGAAACCATACGAGGACGAAGATGGTATAACAATTGTTCCTGTAAAAGAACAACCAACATATCCTGAAGTTAGCAGAGACTTAAGTTCTGTTGCAGATATTCGAAACGACTACCAACAACTGAAAGACAAACTTCAAACTCAGGAGAAGATTTGTCAAGCTTTGGGTATAATGTTAAACTTGGTTGAGCACAACCCTGTAAAAGTGAACTCATATGTCATCGCACCTCATGAAGTTTTGAAAGAACTATTGAAACTTTTGACAGAGGCAGACGATATAAACATCAAAGAAATAGAACCCGACATTGCTTGCTGTGGTGTTTCATATAATGTCATTGACAAGATATACGTTATGAAAGGAGGTGAAACGTTGAACTTAAAATATAGTTTCCCAGACGTCATAAAAATATTTGACGACCACAACATTTCATTAAAATTTACTTGCTAAGTAAAAATGTCAAAACTTCTTGAAAGATGTTTGAAGAAAAACAATATAGACTTTATTTCATGTAAAGGACTTTACACACTTTTGAACGATATGAAAGACCCTGTTTTGTTTGTTCGTGTAGACAAAGGAAAGTTCTATGTTCTTTACAAAAATATTTGAACTTCTTAGACAGAGAACTTCAAGAAACGCCATGTGAAAGTTTAGATGAAGTTCTTCTCCACTTTCAGAAAAACTTTTAAATATATGTAAATGGCAGAAGACACAATGGTTTTATACTATTACGACTAAAAACCCTGAGTCATATAATTCTATAACAACAAACTTACAAAGTCCTCAAGGACGATATTGTAAACTAACTTTAAACACAATGACGACTAAAGCCTGTTTTGCTCTTTTGACACCAGAAGATTTTATTGTTGTGAATGGTAAAAATACTCCTTTGAAGATACTTACTCAGATATACCACCAACAGGTTTTGTTGACTTATTTAATACTTTAAGTAGCGGGTGTAACATGTGCTGCAACTAGAGCAGGTTTCATTATGTTTGGATGTCCGACTGAGTTTACTATAAACAATATGAGCTATAATACAAAACTTATATCTGGTTTTTACTACCAACAGTTTCCTATAACAGGAAAAGTGGTCATACAAGGAATGTCTATTCCATTGACTTTAAGTACACCTATTTTATATATTGTTTCAAACTTAGGTTCAAAGTGCTATTCGAATGTCGACAGAAACTACTATGACCAAAAGATACTCATGCGTATAAAATAACACATTCTCTGCTGGTTTGCCTATTGTTCATTCGAATGCAGAGTTTTCAGCTTAGTAAACTCAAACACTTTAGCAAACATAAACTAAACCTTAGTTGACGCAAACTTTGTTCCTGTAAAACTTTATGTCCTATGTATTTGTCAATGACGGCAGAAAGTTTCGAATTGGAAGATGCAACTGGTGAAAGTATTGTATTACAAGAACAACTTCAACAACAAATAGATCAAGAACAACAAATGCAACAAATAGCTCAAGAATAAAAAAAAATATTTTTTTTTATTTTTATAAAAAATGTACAGAATAGATGTTTCAGATTTTTATGACTTCCAACATTCAGAAATATGTGTCCATTTAGAGACTATAACAAAGCAGTCGAGAATTTGAAACGTTTAGTCATTTATGTTGACTCTGCCCAGAATGTTATGTCATGAAAAATGGGATGTTGTCTTTAACAAACCAAGAGCAACAATAGTGTCTGAACAAGAATGTAGACAGAAACTTAAAAAAAATAAAAGTTGTACAAGTTGCATGAAGATGTTAGATGCTTGGGATATCTTATTGTCAAAGTTAGAAGATTTTTCAGTTCGAGGTATAAAGTTCTATACACCTTCTCCAAACTTCTATTCTATCTTCACTGGATATAAATATGAACAAGTAGAATGGAAAGAAAATATTATAGAAGCTTGGTTAGACCATGTCAAAGAAATATATGCAATGGAAACGAAAGAGTCTATGAGTATATCTTATGTTGGTTTGCAAACATCTTACAACATCCAATGCTAAAAATGAAACTGCTCTCATTATAATTGGAAACAAGGAACAGGTAAGAAACACTTTCTTTACAGATATCTTATGCAAACGTTAGAGGGCTATTCGAACCCTAATATGACAAACTTAGAAACATCTGCGGTAAATTTAACTCTTCAATAGAGAATATGAAACTTATAGTATGTAACGAACTTCAAAGTATAGATACAACAAAAGTTTTGAACTCAGATGCTTTGAAGAGTCTATAAACAGACAAAGTTGGAGTTGTTGAAAGAAAATATAAAGACCAAAGAGTTTGTGAAAATGTTGCAAACTTCATTATGGTTTCAAACAATGCTGTTCCGATGAAGTTAGAAAGTTCTGACAGAAGATATGTAGTTGTCAGAACGTCAGATTCTCATATGCAAGATACAGAATATTTTGACGCTTGTGCAGAAACTTTGACATCTGACTTTACAACCACTTGTTCTCATATTTTATGACATTAGATATTTCAAAGTTCAATCCAAGACAAATTCCACTATCCGAAGAGAGACAAACATTGTTAGAAGCAAAACAAGAGTGTATATGAACTGTTCATAGAATGAAACTGACTTTGAGTGTTTAGATGAAAGGTCATTGTACGATTCGTATAAACAATATTGTCAAGAATATGGTTATATGACAGCGTCTAAACGAACATTCTTGGCAAATGTCAAAAGTCTTTTAGACGTACAGAATGGTGTATATACAAAGAAAATTTTTCTGAGTAAATTTTAAAAAAATATTTTTTTTATCCGATAGAAAAGATGACAGAAAATTACATGTTTACATAGCGCCAAACCCTTCTTGCCACATCTTTTTAAGCCACAATATTATAGACATAAGAACTAAATAGAGAAAGCGAAATTCTACAAACAGAAGAAACATATAGAGACTAAGATAACGAAAATGGATATGCGCTATTCTGGTTAGATTGTCCTTATGAAATGTATGAAAAAAAGGCTTTATATGAAGAATATAGAAAATATTGTCATGAAACGATTATAAGACCAAGCTCTAGAGAAAAATTCTATGCTGGTATTAAAACATCTTTTCGAAGTTCAGAATGGCAAATATATAAGAAATAATTTTTTCTGAGTAAATTTTAAAAAAAAATATTTTTTTATCGATAGAAAAGATGACGAAAATTCATCTCAGTAAACAAGTACATGTCAGGACTTAAAGAAGAACTAGACCCATTCACATATTTGAATGTTTACTTCTACCATTTTGAAAATCTACATTTGACAAAGTTTGGACATCGAACCAGTTAAGTTTGCTATTGTGACTAAAAATAGGTGCGAAATTTGAAGACTTAGACATAGAAGGTTTGTT